GTGTGTGTGTGTGTGTGTGTGTGTGTGTGTGTGTGTGTGTGTGTGTGTTGATGATGATGATTTACCTTTTGTTTAATGTTTTTGTTGTCTTGTTTTTGAGACAGGGTTTCATTTTTATACCAATGGCTGGTCCAGGATTTGCCATGTGGATCATGCTGGATTCAGACTTTCAGTAATTCTCCTGCCTCTGCCTCCCTGGGATTAAGGGTGTTGTGTGTACCACCATGCATGGCTGCGATATTTGAATTCTCAATCATTCTGGTTACTGAAAAGGTCCATAAGTAACAACCTAGTAACCAAAAGCCAGGTCATGGTCTGCAGGTATCATTTCCTACATAAAACAATTCCTTAAAGAAACACCAAATTCAAGTCCCAGAAGGGGAGAGGCAAAAACTGAGCTGAAACATTCTGCCACACTGGGAACGGGGGCCCTAACAGAAAGTACCTCTAAGTAGCTGTACTGAAAAGATAAAGAACCACACCTGAAATGCCTTCAGCTTGTCGGGCAAGAAACAAGTTTAGAACCAATATACTGAATGAATGCAAGCATATTTACATACGTGTGCGAGCAACGGTCACCCACGAGGAATGCTAGCAGGGCAACCACTAGCCTAACAGCCAGCGCACACAAGGTAGAAGCCAAAAGTCAGGCATGGATCGTTCTTTCCTGTGGGGTTTGTCTTACTTTCGACAAGTTTAGTAAAGGGAAACTTCTCTGGTCAGTATCCTAATCAATAAACGGAAGAGAAACAGGGTATTGTCGTTTTTGTATCCTCCTATAGTAATTAATTCAGACATTCCCCACCAACTGCTCAGATCTCCAAAAGAGAGCCTAGGAAAAGCAAAAATGTTCTAATAAAAAAAAATGGAATATTTCAAGTATTTGGATCCAATTACTAAATCTTAGAATATATTGAATGACAATAGAAACGCAGTCCGCAAAATTAAACCACTATGAAATTCCATCATAAAAAGTGACAGAAACTTTATCAATAAATTCCAAAGAAAATAAAGGAGTGGAAAATATACTGAAGAGGAATATCAAACATAGCACACTACAGTGATACATAGCCTTATTGGGTGCTTAGCTAAATAAATTGAAATACAAAGAAAAAGGGTCCAAATTTATGATAAAACAAGGAACTTGAACAGATTCGATATTATAAAGGTATTCTTAGTAAGTCGTGGGAAAACATAATTTTGTTTAAAAAAAAAGTTCTTAGCTTTTAAAGATAAGTCTAAGAATCAGTCTGGACAGAAGCAATGACAGAATACGTACATTAAAAGCCACGTAGGACCATTTGGCCACTTTCACTGGAACCCACATGGATGACCCTTAATGGAAAGGAAGTCAGTTACTTGCCTTGTTTTGTTTCCATATTAAAACTTTTGTTCTCTTGTGAATTCTGATAAAATATTTATTAGCAATAGCAAACACATAGTTCCCTGAATATTGGCTACTTTAAAAGATCAGATCCAGAAGCATGTTCTTTGTGTTTAACACAAACAAGCATTCCTATCAGAGCCTTTGACTTTGACCTCTCAACAGAAGGAAACGAGGATCGCTTTCCCCAAGGAACCGCTGGAGTGAGTAGAACCTGAACACATTTGCCAAGCAAATGAAGTGCTGGTAACTCAGGAGGCTGGGGGGTAAACGATACTGAGAAACAAAGATGTTATAAATAGCACAGCTCTTGCTGTTGGTGACAATCCGGAAAACAAGGGCACGCAACTCCAAAACCTTTATCTATCAACTTATTTCCAGCGCAAACTTGGATCAGTATCTTAACAATTTGCTTCTCTACGTTTCCCTTTCAAACCAAGAACTTGCTAGCACCACGACAGAGAAAATCGGTAAATGATAGGACCGGAATACTCGAAGCATCCCAGTTTCCCAAATACTAACAGCTGTGCACAACAGCACACTTATCAGAAACCACGGTGAAAAGACCCACGTTAAAGACCCACCATCACAAACCTGTGAAGTCAGAAATAATTGATGGGTTTTCCTCAAACTGCTTCGCTGGGTGTCTTATGAAGTGGTGATTCAACACCGAGAACTTCTTCTTAGGTTTCTGAGTTATCTAGGAAGGACATTAACATAGTCTGCATCGTCTACAGCATGATGATTTGATGAAGCTTCACTTCAAGTAATAAAGAGGCAGCATTTACTCTCTCTGGACCATGCACTGTTCTAAAACATGGTATCAACGTTCATCCTCACAAAAACTCTGATAGTATTTATCTGCCTTTTCGTAAAAGACTAAGGCACAGAAAAATTGACATTTATCTAAAGTCACACAGTTATTAAGATTTGGGGCTACAATGCTCTGTCACAATCAAACAGACCTCAAAAGCTCACGTTTTCTCCAGAAGGAGGAAGGAGCCAGAGCCGTGGCTCTCAAAACCATTCCCACAGAACAGATATTTACTGTAAAATGAGTCAGGGGGAGGCCGCTGACGATGAGAAGCCCCACCTTCTTCCCAGCGCACAGCAGAAGCGGAAGCCCCTTAATCACGCTGAAGCCGCCCCTGGCACAGGCCATCTAGCAGTCAAGAAAGCGATGAAAAAAACAACACATTGTCCGGTAGAGGGGACAGCAGGTGATTCCCGGACTCTGCTAACTGGGTAACTCGGAAACCTCGGTGGAACGGAGATCTCAGGACAGAAATGGCTCGACCCGGGCCAGTACACAGCTGACTCTCTGGTGAGTGAGTTACCGAGGACGGCATACATTCCGACCCTACCAATATACTGCAGATAACTTTCAAAGGCATTCAAGAGTACCTAGTAGGATAGATTATGGTGCTCTCACATGTTACTAAGAAAACCCATTAGTCTGTCATAAATACTTCTCTTAAATTAAAATGAGAGCTGGAGAGAGAGGCATCCAACCTCTGACCTGTGTAGAGAAAGAGCTGAGAGAAGAGCTAGCCGCTCTGGTCTTTATTTAAAAAAATATATTTATTTATTTATTTATTATGTATACAATATTCTGTCTGTGTATATGCCTGAAGGCCAGAAGAGGGCACCAGACCTCATTACAGATGGTTGTGAGCCACCATGTGGCTGCTGGGAATTGAACTCAGGACCTTTGGAAGAGCAGGCAATGCTCTTAACCGCTGAGCCATCTCTCCAGCCCCTCTGGTCTTTATTTTCACGGCTTCCTGAATGAATGGTCTACGCATCACATCAGAAGGAATGAAGACATTTCTATTTCAGAACTAATTCGCCTGATATGAGGATTCTGTTAGTGTCCATGCTAAAATGGATGGAATCTGTGAGCGCTAGCCAAAGCGTTCGCTTCGCTAAAACACCCTGTCGGTTCAAAAACACCTACTTGCTTGGTATCGGCGTCGATGAGATCAAAGAAGGCTCGGATTGTGGTCAACTGTAACTGCTTACACCTAGAACGAAAAGGAAGTGTTACAGATACAATGTCTGTAAAACACTGGCCTTTCTCAGTGTGAAACTGTTACTAAGGCGGGAATACAAAGGAAGACAAAATCTATGTTAGAAATTATCATATTTTCTTTTGTGAGAATTTTATTCCCTGGCCATATCTACCCCTTGTTTCCTCCCCAGTTCTCCCCAACCCCCCCCCCCATCATCTCTCCACCTCAACTTCATATCCTCTTCTTAAATTTAATTCCTTTTTTTAACTCCCTAAACCCAATCAGTCCCATCCCGCCATGCCTGAGGATGGGTGAACCCTAAGGGAACAGGGGATTCTACTGGTCACCATACCGCCAAAGACAAGCGACTCCCCCTCCCCCAGAAGCCACCAACCGCCAGTTTTGATGGAAATATGCACATGTCCATCAGTTACTGGAGTATGTTCTATTGCTTTAATGCTGTGCACTAAGAAGGCACGCAACAAGTCATTCCTACTAAGTGTCTCTATCAAGGTTAACCTGTAGAAGCCAAGCAAACGAAATCTTTCTGGATGCCTGAGAGCAGAACGGTCTTCTGCTGCCCACGTGACTGCCAGCTCCAGGCACACGTGAGGCCTACAACACTCTACACGCCTGCCCTGCGTGGACCTTGAAGACTATGGCTTATCCAGACAGAGGAAGGACAGAAGGGAAGAGAATCTGACAGCCAGAGCACAAGGAGCTAGAGACTGGAGCCTTTGCTTTCCTTGACCCACATGTAACCTCTTACGTTTCTACTTATATTAGGGAGAGATCTGATTTCTGGTTGGTTTCCCTTGCTCCCCCACAGCCACCACTAAACTAACTCTATCGGCGAGCAGTGATTGGCTGGGAGCTCTGAATGACCTCTCGGGGGCACATCTGACGCTGCCCAGCTAAGACAAGCCCGAAAATTTAGCATTTGATGCTGGCGCCATTCCGAGCGACGTTACTTGTGTTTCAGAAGACGATGTTATGGATTGTCAGGTCCAACAAGCAAGAGCCGAGCCTTGAGCTGGAAGCTCTATTAATCTTTCACTCTGGGGCTTAATTATGGGTCAAATTCTCTGAAAGCTAGAAGACCAATGACTGTACTAGTGAGAAGGAAGGACCAGGACAAGTCACCCGTGTGAGTTATCACGCACCACACGATGGAGAGATGGTCTGTTGAGACCCAGGTCTTAGGCACTGCTGAGCTCTACGAGGAAAAGAAAAGAAAGAAATTCAGGTACATCACGATTTGCTGGATCTCTCACACACTAATATTTAGAAACACGCGTTAAAAATTTCACTACACTGTATACGTCTTTAATTAAAGTGATCCGTTTTTATAAAAGGTGATCCTAACATATTATTCCATGCATAATATAACCCCATATGTGTTATTTCTGGTTCTCAAACTTATATTACCCTTTTAAAAATTAATATATCCAAAGAGCCTATGTTGAGGTTTTAATATCTAACATTTTAAAAGCACAATTAAAAAGTTGAGCTTAATATTCCTTTAATAAAGAATCTTATTAAAGAAAGTTATTAAGTAAGATTTTTACTTTTCCATGAATGTAGATGTTCCAATAGATAGTTCAGGATTTTAGTTTTGACTGAACTGCTACTTGGGGGGGGGGCTCTGAGATACGGCTTGATGAGAACGGGTGTGCTGAGAAACATGTATTAGTATGTAGTATTTATTATATGTATTAACTACACAAAGCAAGGAGCTCGATTACGACATTTCCACATTTGCATAATAGAGATTGATCATTTCCATACTCTATAACTCCTGTTCATCCGCACCCCTCTTATTGATGAGTTTATAGGTACTTTATATATTTAGGAACTACTGCTGATAAATTACTAAAAAAATCTGACACCAGAGTCCTCTACGGTTCTAAGATTTTACTAGCCACTGAGCATAATAATAGCTCAACCACTGGTAGGTAGCATTTACCATTATCGAGTAAATAAATGTGCTTTATCTTATGATGTGGATTCCCCTCTGTATGCTGTGATTACCATCAATGAATAAAGAAAACTGGCTTGGCCTGATAGGGTGGAATAGAGGTAGGCGGGGAAAACTAAACTGAATGCTGGGAGAAAGAAGGAGGCGATTCAGAGAGAAGCCATGTAGCCCTGCCAGAGCTGGACGGAATTTTACCCGGTGAGCCACTGCCACGTTGCAATACACACATTAATAGAAATAGGTTAAATTAATATGTAAGAATTAGCCAATAAGAGCTAATGGGCCAAGCAGTCATTTAATTAACACAGTTTCTGTGTGATTATTTTGGGGCTAAGCAGCCAGGAACAAACTAGCGGCCTCCTCCTGCAATTTTGTTTGGCTTGGTAAAGGCACCACAAACACCACCCGCTCTTCCCTCTCAGGCCCAGAGAATACTCCAGAACAAGGGCAGAAAGAACACAGGAGCCACACTCAGGGGGGACATCTATGAAAAGCCACCTCCTAGGCAGGACACAGCCGGTGCAAGCGTGAACTCATACCAGCTATGGCTACTGACAAGACCAGCCCTGCCAACAGTCAGCTATGGATGGAGGAGAAGCTCATGGGGCCCCAGCCCGACTGCCTAGTCACTGACTGCTGACAGATTCGGGAAGAAGCATTTCATTGCGTGCCTACAGAAAGACACTGTGGTCACACAGACAGCCCTTGCGGGGCACAAGCCACACACAAGGCATGAATTGGGGTAGAGATTTGTGGGGAAGAGGTCGGTAGCAGTGGGAAGGTGAAAAGAGGCGAGGGGAGTCATCAGAACACATTATATTCACTTATGAAACTGTTAAAGTTTAAAGTTAATAAAAATGCAGTTATTTTATAAGGGTGGTTGCTCATGGAACCATTAATTGTATACTAAAAGGCATTCATTCTGCTCTACAGCAAACAACATGGCTAAATCTCTCAGCCTCTCTTCTTTAAGACATAACAGCATTTCCTCTCACAGTGAGCAGAAGCCACGGGTGAGAGAAGCCATGGGCAAGAGAAGACATGGGTGGGAAAAGCCATGGGCAGGAGAAGTCATGGGGTGGGAGAAGTCACGAGTAAAAGAAGCCATGGGTGGGAGAAGCCGTGGGTGAGAGAAGCCGTGAGCGAGAGAAGCCGTGGGTGAGAGAAGCCGTGGGTGAGAGAAGCCACGGGCGAGAGAAGCCACAGGTGAGAGAAGCCACGGGCGGGAGAAGCCGTGGGTGAGAGAAGTCATGGGCAAAAGAAAATATGGGTGGGAGAAGCCATGGGGTGGGAGAAGTCACAGGTGAAAGAAGCCATGGGTGGGAGAAACCACGGGTGGGAGAAGCCGTGGGTGAGAGAAGCCATGGGCGAGAGAAGCCATGCATGAGAGAAGCCAAGGGTGGGAAAAGCCATAGATGAGAGAAGCCGTGGGCGGGAGAAGTCACTGGTAAGAGGAGTCACGGGCGAGGGAAGCCACGGGTGAGGGAAACAATGGGTACCCTTTTCAGCCCAGTGCCCTTCCCTGTGCTGATTCCTCTCTCTCTCTCTCTCTCTCTCTCTCTCTCTCTGGTCGAACCTGGTGATGACTAACGTGATCTGGGAAGTAAAGCATTGTAGATGGGATGTCTGGCATCAGCCTAGGTCCCTGAGTCAGAAACCACACACCAATCTACGCAGCAAAAGGTCATTTGTATTTATGACACTATTATCTATAAGATATTATAGCAATTGAACACAATCACGGTCTTAATTTCTTATCATTTTCCCGGTCCCCGTGACTATAAAGTAACTTAACCACTCCTGTGACAAGCACTGCAAAGCTGTCGCTCCTTAACTGACTTTAATATCAGACATATAAACGTGAGAAATCACGAAGCATTTGAGAGTTAAAAAAATAAAAGTCAGGTTCTACAGACAGACAACTGTGGGGAGATCTGTTAGTAAAGTCTCTTCATCAGAGATACAGCAAGAGCGACAGCCACGCATCGTCAAAGGGATCAGAGCAGACAAGGACACACACTCATACGTCAGCGGATGCATGCGGGGTCAAACGAGCAATGTTCTTCCACAGACAAGCATCAGCGTGCAGCATGTTAACGCCACACTGCGGGTCAACAACGGCAAGGAAGGTATGTCTGACTTCATAAGACTTCATCACGTGTGTTTACCAAGGAGCGACACTGGGTGTTCTGAGGAGTCCCGGCAAACATCTGTCTGAAATACTCGGACACCAAAACCAAGAATCATGCCACTAATGACATCCGAGAGAATGATTGATTGATGGACATGACAACTCTCCTGGCTGTATCCTAATGTTTCCAGTTAGAAGAAAATGGTGAGGATAGACCTGCGTCTTAATTCCTCCTCTGGATAAGGCAACAAAGGATTCAGTTAGCAGCTCACTAATGGACGAACGGTAGGGCAATAGCAGCGAAGTTACACAGGACAACTCAGAGATGTGAATTTCTACCACCATCGCCCCAAAGCTCGGGGACAGGCGGCCCCTCTAGAGAGGCTGGACGTGCCTCTGCAGTGGAGATCTTAACCGCTGACGTCATGGTTAAATGTATAAGAAGTGCTGAAGGAAACTTGAGCTCACGTTCCAAAGGTTATGTATCCTAATTAAAGATCAAACACTCAATGGCCTGGCAGGGAAGGGTAATTAATAATCGGCAAGTTATTCGGGGTTCTATTTGTACGTCAACAATCAAAGAGCGTTCTTTTATTTGGCAGTTGGTAAATCTTTACTCAAAGCTAGCATTAGGAGGACGGGATGTGTCGGCCATTCTATTAGCAATATAGTTACATCGCGCACACGTAACTAGAGCCCCTTGTGTTTAGTCCATACACTCTCATGGTTACACCTCTAATTAATGGATAGGGTCTTACTTTGGAGCCTATTATTTTCATTGATTTTCAAGGTTTCTCACGTTCTTTTTACTTTCTCTGGCAGAAGCATCCACGCATCTGCTTTTCAATACCTCCATCTTCATTTGAATTTCCCCACACATCCGCCCATGTGTGCGCGTGCACACTTGCTCCACCCACCTGGCGCCCATTTACGAGCATGGATAGATACACTATGGCCCTTCTGATGTTCCACTGTGTCTACTATAGTCCTATATAGAACCTTTAAGATAATTACCACGACAGATAAGGCACTGGTCTGATGGCTTAGTTTTGGCAGAAAAGTCAGTCCGGAACGGACTTGGTAATCCCGGAAGCCTCCAGCCACGGAGAGCGTAGTCAGATTTATGTGCTGAGCATTTAAAATCCAGTAGTTGTTTACAGTCATATAGAACTCTGGAAGGAAATGAAGGGGAAAAGGAAACACTGAAAATTAAGCCATTTCATGCAGCCATACTTATAATACTAATATTTAACTGAATTTTTGCTTAAGCTATTTGGTCTATAAATGTTATTATTCACATTTCTATATTTGGAGGAAAAAAATCATTAGCTTTGCATACAAGTCAGAGTATACAAATCCACGTCTGCAATGAGTTGAAGTGCAAATACTGAGAGTTACCGAAGGTGTCAGAAAAGAGAAAGGCCACACTGAACCAGCATGGGAATAACCAATAACTTAGTGCTCAAATTTAAATCCTGTTCCACAAGATGAAAGCCATACTTTATACCATTATCGGGCTAGAAACCTACGTCTAGATAGATAGGTCACGGTCCCTAAGGGACTGCATACTATTCTGCTGCTAAATGACATAATGTCAAACTGACTCTTGGTGACTTATTATACCCAAAGATCCATGTGCCTCTCATTCCTCGCCCTGAAAAGCTTCCATCTGCAGCAGATGGTGATTAATCCAGTGATCCCTAACTGGCCAAGGTGAAGAGAAGAGTAGAGTACAGAATGTTCAGCCCTAAGCGGGAGATACACACTGCACCCTGCTTGCCAAGGCTCAGGGGTCATTGCAGAAGGGAAAGGGGAATGAGTGTAATTGTTGGAGACAGAGGATAACCACAAGGAAGCCTTTGCTTAAGAATTTACTGTGGGTTTCAATAGCAGATTAAAACCAACGCAAGCCCACGCCGGAGCAGATTCCAGCAAGGAGAGAGGACCTGGGCACACAGTCCCCAGCCCCCCAATCCCGGAGCTACGGGCAATTTTTATTTCCTGGGAGAAGAAGAAAAGGTTTTCCCTAAAAGTATACATTCTGGTAAATTGATCGCTCTCTGGGGAAAGGCCATACATCCAAGAATATTTGGGCAGCACAAACTGGTCTTGAAGGATTTAAAGAATAAGTTTGACGTAATGTGTAGACAGGGAGTCAGGGGATAATCAGAGAAAAAGTGGGGGAGAAGGACGGAACGTGCTGTACGAAACTCTCAAAGAACTACGACTATTACTACTACTACTACTACTACTACTACTAATAATAATAATAATAATAATAATAATTAAAACAAAAGAATAACCAGGTGGCTCACACCTTTAACCCCAGCACGCACGAGGCAGAGGCAGGTAGGATCTCTGTGAGTTCAAGGCCAGCCTGGTCTACAGAGCGAGTTGCAGGACAGTCAGGGCTACACAGAGAAACCCTGTCTCAGAAGACAAAACAAAACAGCACAACAAAATAAATACAAGAAAAGGAAGTTCAATCTTGAAGGATTAGTTTTAAGTGTATCTGGAATCATTTAAACTTAACTACACGGCTCATCTCTATGAACTGTGCAAAACGCAACAGAAAAGGTGGTCACAAACCTGACTTTGTTTTTGATTCTTGCCCTAAATGGGACACTCAGTCAACATTAGCAGAAGCAACACAAAAGAGTTAAACAATTTTAACCACAAATCTCTTAATTTTACTACTGTGAGAACCTGATACGGCAAGTTTCAAACAAGGAACTCTTAAAAAGGCAGAACCGTTCCCGAGAAGAACGAAGCTGGAGTTCTGGAACCTCGGGCTTAGCAAACACACGCCGACCGGCTGGAAAGAGACATCAACGCCATCCTCAATAACAAGCCTAGACTGGGAGAGACGAGCAACACCGAGAACGGAAGTGCTGATGTGTAACTGGACAGCCTCGCACAGGGAGTGAACTCTCAGGAACCAGCTTCACCCTGGTGGGAGGAGGGGAGTTTGAAGGTGCTCATACTCACCCGTGATGAAGCGGTCTAAGGGCATCACGGGGGCCACGTGAGGAGTGGCCTGGGTGACCAGAAGGTTGATCAGATCTTGCTTGAAGTTCTTCAGTGTAAGCAATGCTCTGGCAACGAGGCCGCCCATAGAATGACCAATTATTGCCACACTTGTGGGAGCAAATTCTTGACCCTATTTGAAAAAGAAAGGAAAGAGAGGGAGAAAGGGAAAAGAGGGAGAAAGGGGGAAAAAAAATCACCATGATAGAATTCTTAGTATCATAGGAAAACTACTTCGTACTTCTCTTTGCATGTGAGCAATATAGTAGCAACCCTAAACCAGAAGAATATCCCTCAAAAGACAGAAAAATCTGTCTTCACCCAGTTCTAAGCAATAAGCAAACCCTCTTTTGGGTTGTATTACTTTTAACAGTTATACTTTTGGTTATGATTTTCTGAACTGAAACTGGAATTCTTGATTTAGTGAATCACATCTGTATTCATTTGTTAGGTTGCATACAATCTGAAGTATATTTAGTATAGAATAGAGTATTATTTTATAATATATAAGGAATATATAATATATATAAGGATATATAAGGAATAATGTATAAGAAATAAATGAAACTGAAAATAGTTGTAAAAGACAATTCCAGCTGTTGAAGCAATACAACATCACATCGTGTCTCGTTAAATTTATTTCTCTACAGTACATTTGAATTTAAAAAATAAAATAGTTTCTTGAACATTTATTCACAGGTTATGTAATTCTTTAAAAAAGTATCGCCTTAAAAATAGTCTTTGTTAGGGCTGGAGAGATGTCTCAGAGGTGACTCTCACTGGTTCTTCAGAGGACGGGGGTTCAGTTGCCATCACCCACATGGTGGATGAGGACAAGTCTGTAACTCTAGTCCCAGGGGATCCAGTGCCCTCTTCCGGCCTGCAGAGGCACCAGGCACACACAGGGTACGCAGACATACAAGCAGATAAAATACCCACACACCAAAAGTTAATTACTTTTAAAAAACAATAATAATCTTTATGTATCAGGTGTGGTGGTGCACACCTTTAATTCAAGCACTCAGGAGGCAGAGGCAAGCGGATCTCTGTGAGTTCGAGGCCAGCCAGAACTACATAGTGAGACCATCTCAAAGACAAACAAGCTTGTGTCGGCTGCGCTCCTTAATCTTCCTACTAGGCTGTAGACGTGTCTCCCACAACACTGGTCCACCACATGTCTTTCCTTCAGTCGCTGTGCAAAACAGAGCTGACCTGGAAGGCCTGGGATTGCTATCCTTAGAATGAACTAAACGAAAGGCTGCTACAGGGTGCAGTCTGGGACCTTATATTTCGGGATGGGTCTTGTCACTCTTTAGACAGTTCACGGTGCCCGCGATGCAAACACCAAGGCTTATGATGAACACCTGTTGTCCTCTAGGCTAGACTTTTGGTCTGTGTTAAGCAGACAGATTTGGAATTGGCTCCTGATAAAACCTTGGGGCACTGCGTCTCTAACTGTGCCCCTCTGAGGCAACCTTTCTCAATTTGTAGATGGAGGAACGATGTACAAATGTGTCTGTATCCGTCCCGCCCCTGCCCCCGGCCCCTCCATCCCTGGGAGAGCCGCCGGATGCTCACACCTGCTTTCTTCCGATTTTGTGCGCTTCTCCTCACGGGCTTTGTGTCCTTTCCTTGTGTGACAGCCCTAAGTCTGATACAAACTGAGTCCTGTGAACCCCAACTGGCAAGCCAGCCTGCCTGGGGGTGGCCTTGGGGATCCCAGCGTTCATCATGGCAAGGGCCGACCTACCTCTGCACCCCCACTTCCCGTTCTCTTATCCACAGGTGCTCACTTTTAGTCTTTGGTGCTGTGCTCCTTCCCTTTCCTGACCCCTTAATGGCCTGTGATTGGTTCTTTGATCTCTCTCTGACTCTCTCTCTCTCTCTCTCTCTCTCTCTCTCTCTCTAATATTGGCCACACTAATGGCATCTACTCCCCTGGCTGTAAATACATCTACGTACAGTTAACCACCCAACTAATCTCCGCTGGATCTCTCCGCTGAGTCCTCGCCTTGAACTCCTCTTGTGTAATTGCTGTACGGGGAATATCTCATGGCTCTCACATTCAGTCTGTCTTAATTAGACTTTATCACCCCCAAGCCTTTTCCTCCTTCCTGTCCAAGGCAATTCAGTCCCTCCAGTTAGCCAAACAAAAAAACTTGGAATCATTAACTCTTCTTTCTCCTTCCTACAGAACTTTAGCCTGCAATCTGCCAGCCAAGTTTGCTGCCTCCGCCCCATACTAGTACCCTAGTACTTCAGTTGCTACCAACCTAACGTAAAGCACTATTAGCTCTTGTCTGAGAGACTGCAACAGGCTTCTCTCTGATCTCCCCGTCTCCACCTTTATGCCCCTCCAGTTTATCCTCAAAAATAACCAGAATGAAATCATCCTACTAAAATTGAAGTAAGAACGTGTCACTGCCCAGTGGTTTTCCATACCACCCTAGATGAAAGGGAGAAAAATATTAAAATTGTCTCTGTGTCTTTACAATCTACCCGACCACCCCAGCGCATTTCTGTTTTCCACGTGGCTGTGTTTACGTAGACTCTTGTGATTGATGAGGTTTCCTCTGCCCAGAATAGTCTTTCCATACCTGGACTTTACCCGTTCAATGAGATTCAAGTGTACTTCAACTCTTCCTATACTTGCTTGCAACAGAAACCTATGTCGGTATCGCATCTTAAAAATATTGAATTATAAGTTTAATGTGTTCATTAGAAAAATCCAAAACAAAAACAGAAAAAATAATCAACTACCTACTACATAACGTTAAAGTTTATTTACTGTGGTTGACATTTATTTATCTTATCTGATAAATAATCTTATCAGTGATTACCTGTGCCTAAAGACGATTGTTTTTTTCTCTCATAACACTCAGATTCCCCAGAATAATAAACAGAATAATAAAATTAATTTATTACGACACTGGTGGTGCACGCCTTTAATCCCAGCACTTGGGAGGCAGAGGCAGGAGGCACTCTGAGTTCAAAGCTACTCTAGTCAACAAAAGTGAACTTCAGGACAACCAGGACTGTTACAGAGAGAAACCCTGCCTCAAAACAAGATACCCCCCCCATTAATTTCTATTCCTTCTACACCGAGTTTATGTTCCTTTTTCTATTTTGTAAGCCATGGACGGGAACTAGTGTTGTCACATGGCTTCCCACAGCTGCCGAGATGATCCTAGGATGAATTATACTGACGCATATTTAGATATTAAACCAGTTTAGTCTTCTTGCAATAAATTATATTAGGTCATGATGTATTTATTGTGCCTTTAATATATCGCTGAATTCTGTAGTCTGGTTTTCAGTCGAAGATTACGTATCATGAGGAATATCTCTAGTTTCTTTTCGATGACTGTTAGGGTCTCTAAAATGGGATTATAGCTCCCCCCCTTTTTTTTGAAGTCCTTGTCTAGTTTTGTTGAAGAGCTATGATGAAATAAAGACTGAGTCTGTTTCTTCCTGTGATTTTGCTGTTGTTTTGAGATCAATAACTGTTATTTCTTAAATAAGGACTAGAATTTCACTGAAAGTCATTTTGCCCTAGGTTTTTCTTAGTGGCAAGATTTTCCATTACACACACACACACACACACACACACACACACACCACCCCTGACAGATACAGGGCTAACCAGATTTTCTGTTTCTTCTTACGTCAGCTTTTTAATTTATGTTATTTACAGTCATCAAAGTGTGCCTATTCCTTCAGTGTCCTCTTCACAGGGGCCGCCTCTGTAGAAACACACCGTCACGAGTTCCTGAAAGCATTACTTTGTTTTCTCATTTCTCAAGTCAGTCTAGCCATAATTTACCAAGCTGTTGATCTTTCTGAAGAATCAACCATTGGCAGAGTGAGTTTTTCTGTTGTTTTATATTTCTTTAATTTCTACTTTCATCATGACTCCTAACTCTATCTGCTTTGGCAACTTTCTTTTCTCTCTGGCTTACAAAGGCTGCACCCTTCAGTCACGGACTTGAAATCTTACTTTAGAAGCATTCAAAAACAGTATTTCTTTTTAACAATTACCCAACTTATAAATTCTTTTTTTATTATTTGATAATTTTGTGCACATAAAAATGTTATAAATTCTGATATGTATTTTCATTTTAATTCATCTCATAGTATCTCCAAATTTCACTTTTTTAAAATGTTGGGTAATCTAGCAGTAATAGAAGTTTTGTCTTTCTTTTTTAATTTGGTTTTTCGAGACAGGGTTTCTTGGTGTAACAGCCCTGGCTATCCCGGAACTTGCTTTGTAAACCAGGCTGACCTCAAACTCACAGAGAACCCCCTGCCTTTGCCTTCTGAGTGTTGGGATTAAAGGTGTGCGCCATCACCTGGCTAGAAGAATTTTTTTTTAGGCATTTTTTTCTTACTTTTAATTTAACTTTGCTATTTTCAGAAAATATACTACATTGCATAGTTTTAGTACTTTGAGGATTATTAATACCCGTGACCCACATATGGCCTGGCACAGACGACACCTTAGTAAATGGTCACTGTGCATTGAAACAGAATGTTTCTATAGTTGTTGAGCACAGCATTCTACTATTACTAATAAACATACCGAAAGGTGGTGAAGAGTGTTCAGATCCAGAGTTTTACGGAACTCCTCTATCAGAAATTGGGAGAATTCGTAGTGAAATCATTCGTACTAATTGTGCTAACAGTGATAATTTCTTTCCTTGGTTCTGCTGGATTTGGCTTTGTGAATCCAGAAGGATCAGAGGCATACAAGTGATTGCTTTGTTTCCTGGATACATCGACCCTTTTACAATTAAGATTTACAATTAATAAATGTCTTTCTTGTGGGGACAGGACCTGAGGATGAAACTCAAAGTCTCTTAAAACATCTACACTGATCCCCAATAAAATGCCTTTCCCTAAAATTAATTGAACAGATAGTAACGTAGTCATTCTGGTTTTTGATTCATTGTGTGGTATGTGCACATACGTGACTCAGGGGACAATGTAGGGAGGGGGCAGTTTCTCTTCTTCAAACATTTGGGCTCCAGGGACTGAACAGAGGTCATCACGCTGGGCAGCTGGTACCTTCACCCCTAAGTCACCTCACAACCCTCCACCTTATCTTTTGAGATGGTATCTCTCGATGAAGGTGCCTTTACCCACTAAGTCACCTCACTGGTCCTCCACCTTATCTCTCAATGAACCAGGAAGAAGCAGGTTACACTGCTGACCGGCATCCTTATCGCCTACCTTGTACAGTTTGAGAATTGTTTTGATGCATTCATGCACGAACTTGGTCTGCTTCTGAAGACTCCCGCCGTACAGCGCCACCAGCTCCTCGTTGAAGTTCACGCTGAAGAAGTCGAAGTGGTACTTGAAGTCGATGTCCTCCGCTTTTCTCAGCGCGATGGAGCCGATGGAGCGGACTGCAGAGGAGAGGACAGCTCACTGTACAAGACACCCCAGAATGCCTCCCCACTTCGTTCTGAAAGGCCTTACTTTGTTTTGCTTTGTTGTTTTTTTGTCTCTGAGACAGGGTTTTTCAGTGTGGCCCTGACTGTCCCAGAACTCGCTCTGTAGACCAGGCTGGCCCCGAACTCAGAGAGATCTGCCTGTCGCTGCTGGGATTAAAGGCTGAGCTTTTGGGGCGCGGGGTTTACTAGGATCTGAGATCAGGGTCTTCATACAGAAAATGCTAACAGTTAGCAGTTGAGCTTCTAAGGTAACACGGTTACTGTGGGCCACAACTGAAGTAAGTTGTTTTTATTCATGATAGGAGGGTTGTTTATTTAAAGCCTCTCAATAGCACAGATTATATATTATAAAGGTCAAAAACACCTGCAAACCAATAGAGTATACTAGGGATTCACACTTAGGGATTAAGACTATAAAGAAAGTTTATGAAAAGTGCTACCTTAAAACCAGAATTGTGGAAATGTGTGCGTGTGTGTGTAAGGGGGAACGCTTTAGTCATGAAGGAACACACAGGGTGTGCAGGGCGCTGGCAACTTCCTACTTCTTCACCGAAGCTTTCGTTCTCCGTAAGTTCACTCTGTAATACCTGTAAGTGTGTCCTTTCAAGCGTGACAGGTAACAACAAAAGCCAGATGATATCATGTCTTACCCAAAGCACCCATGTTTCACATCCCTCTCAAATGAACATCCAGTCTTCCCAGATCTTATCTACAGGCCATCGCGACCTCTCCATTCTCGCCTCGTTTTTCTCTATGGGTCTGTGACCGATGGTCCTCAGGGCACTGGACATAGCCTTGCATCAGGAACTTCCCCTAACTACAGTGCTCAGGCTCCTCTCAAACACCATCTCCCCACCACGGCCTTTCCTGACCCCCTCATCTAAACAGGTCTCTTTCCTATCACACACCGTCTGCCCCCTTCAGTGGCTTATGGATTTATTTCTTGTAGCTTTTAATATTACTGAAACCTCCACTGGTGGCTGTCTTCCCTTAAGATGTTCTTGATGAGGGAGGGACTTGCTGTCTTGTTGTACTCGGGACCATCAATACCTAGAATACTCCCAGGCTCAGGACCAACATGCCACCAGTGTTTTGTATTTTAAAATTAAAAAGAAACATAAAGAATCACCATGCATGCTGAAACGATTGTGGGTTCGTTACTTAGCAATTCCTGGAATGTTTGTAAGAACCAACGCAGATTCTGTTTGTAAACGTGATGACTTACAGATTGGGATGTCTGCCTGTTAGGCCAGAAACGCCTGACATTCTGCAAGCCAACGCTGAATCTGACCCTGAACACATCACTTCTTTCTCCCCGCCATTCTGGAACCCCTCCATACTGCGACAGGCCTCCAGCCTGGGAAAGACACTGATCTAGTCTCACTCAGAGCAATGTGGGGTACCATTCTCCCCACTGAATGCTTCGGATTCCACTCTTTATAACTTCTTTTCCAATGCGAGCCTTTCTTCTGCTCGTCCTGAATACCTGGCTAATCTCTTCACCCTACCCTGTGCCGTCCGCCTCTTCTCATCCTAAGTAGTCTTCATCTCGTCTTTTCCTTGTATTTCACTGTGTGTTTTCCCGTGGAGGAAGCGGCATTCCCGTGGCTCTCCCAGGAGGGAGCGGGACACGCTTTTTTATCTATCCCTGCTTGATTCACGCAAGGACACACACGCTCCAAAGTCTGAATTTCACAGCTTTAACTCCGCTCTTCCAGTGCCTACCTTGCTTGTAGCTGCCAGCATTCCCAGGAAGGAAGAGAACGGGAATTCCTGTCAGAGGGAGAACTTTGTGCTCTTCGGCGTACGACCCTTCTCCGTACAGATAGAGCTCGTAGGATGGATAGCGTTTTGTCAGCTTCTTCGGGAGTTCGATTTTCTACAGAGAGGAAGTAATAAATAAATAAGTCCACTTCAATCACTTTTGCTAATACAACTCAGATTCAATGCAAACGTAAACTACTTTTCAAGAACTTTGAAATCGTGCGACAGAAAAAGATTACCAACGATATTAACCACACTCGATGCACAAAACAAGTTCTCCTTGACGTGTCTCGAGCAGGAGATTACTCTTAAATTATGTGGATCTTGAATGGTGTAAACTTCAAACACATGTGGCTGACATTCTAGCACATGCCCATCGGTCTAAACAATGCCTGACAACGGCTATATGTCACTGGTATACGTCAGAAAGTTTCACATAAGCATAACTGGAAATGCATTTCATTTAGAGTCAGTTATTAATTATACTTTAAAAATGATGATAAACACTTTCCACGATCAAATCAATTCCTTTTGTAATTTTATACTCCTTTCTAAAGTATTTCCTTTTACTCAGGCCCCCCTACGTACTGCAGCTGTTGTGTGTGCACACATACATTCATTCGTGTGTGTGTGTGCGCGCATACATGTGTTCACATGTGCGCACAGGCATATACAGATACATGTGTGTGCACGTGGAAGCCAGAGGTCAACAGTGGGTATCTCCCTCAACTGTTCTCCACCTGAACCTGGAGGTCACAGATTCAGCTAGACTGCCTGGCCTACCTCTGCTTCCCCGGTGCTGGGATTACAAACACAGACTACACGGTCCAGCTATGTTTCTGTGCTGTGGATGAGCTCCAGCCTTCCTCATGATGGCATGGCAAGCCCTTCGTCTGCGAAACTAATTCCACAGCCCCAGGAAGGAGGCCTGACAATAAAACCTTCTGAGCTCTCAGTGCTTTAATGATGATGGTTTAACAAAATAACAAAATTACCTGAACTTGACAATCAAGAGACGAACATTCTTCTTACCACTGAATTAGCATCTGCTCCCAATCAGGGGCCAGCACCCAGACTGTGAGCAAGCCTTAAGCTACTTTGGCAAATCCAAGAGTTGTATACAAAATTCTTTCCAATATAGCATATATCAGGTGCTGATGTCCTCCCCAAAGGATAGGATCCATCAAAGATGTTGCAATGTGTAAGCTCTTCTGCTCCCCCCTCCCCCCCTTTGAGGCCGATTCTCACTATGTAGGCTCAGCTGTCCTGACTCGCTACCATGCTACCCCATGTTCCCTAGCGAGTGTTGGGAATGACAGGCGTCCATCATCCTACCTGGTGTTTCCTTTCTTTCTCTTTCTAATAACAGAAATTATTAACAACAAGTCATTGGGCGCTGGAGAGATGGCTCCGCGGTTAAGAGCACTGACTGCTCTTCCAGAGGACCCAGGTTCAATTCCCAGCACCCACACGGCAGCTCGCAACTGTCTGTAACTCCAGTTCCAGGTGATCTGGCACCCTCACATAGACACGCAGGCAAAACACCAGTGCACATACAATAAAAATAAAGTTTAAAAAAGGATGCCACTTTCAAAAATAACCATTATACTGAATCATAGATTTAAGCAGTATCAATATGTTAATAATTTAGCAATGTCAAACATATACGTACTTGATGAAATATTTTGCCATATAAATTTCAAAACCTGTAAATGTTAATACTGCTGAAAAATTCAAAAAAAAATTCTAATCATTTGTGTAGACTCCAGACTATTCCTTTGAGGATATTATAATCTGGGCCAATCACACCCCAGAGGCATCTACAGGACTGCTATGTGCCTATTATTTAAGGGATGAGTACTTTCCAATACCTTCTCCAATACACCAAACCCAGAGAAACCAACGCTGCCATTTGCTGTATAAGCACACTGGTACTTGAAGTCAAATTAGTTCCGATAATTTATGCAGAGTGCAAGTAAAAACAAAATGATGCACGACTTTATTTAATGGAGTACAAAGCAAGCAGAAAGAAAACATAACAGAAAAAAGAAATAATTCCTGAACTGCTCCCAAATAAGGACACAATTTGATGCAATGGCACATGCATAAGAGATCGTTACTTTCTAGTTTAGTGGACAAAGTTTGAGTTAAGCTGAATACTAATTCAGAAAACAAGAAACTACCAAATATATCTAAAAAGAAATAATTAAAGATTAATTAAAGATGAAAAGCAGGTAAGACAACATATTTGGCATATTTCATAGCATATTATTTTAGGGGCAATTTTGTTATAAAAATATTAATAGCATGAAAAATTAACTATATATATATACATATATATGTGTATATATGTATGCTATACATATACATATAGCACACAGGTGGGGAAAGGCAGGGAGATGGAAAGGCAATAGTGGGGAGCAGAAAGGAAAGCAAAAATGGTAGGCAAATGGGAGAACGACCTCAGGCAGAGCCCCAGTGCGCGTCCAGAAGACAAAAAAGGCCGCTAAAGCGCCTGACGATGTGTGAACCCACACAAGGGATGCCGAGGAGAAAAAGGAAGCATTGAGAACCCAGCTAAAGGGCTCCAAGAAAAATGATCTTATATGGACAGTTTAAAGCAAGCAGACTCTCACCCACAAGCGCCCTTTAATGAAGATCGGCGACCTTCACAAGACATAGTACGTCCATGATGCCGACCCTGCTGTCTGCCATGCCTTTACTGCCTCTCACATACTGTCCGTATCACCAACTGACACCCCTTCCGAAAGACAAGTGTCCTAACAACTCCCCTCACCTGCTAAAGGATGCTGCCTTAAGGAGGCAGAGTCCTAATTTTATAAGTGTGTGTGCGTGTGTGCGCGCACGTGTGCGTGCGCGAATCTATCTTTCATCTGTAAAGAAAAACGATAAAAGTTTGATAGTCATGATATACCCAAAAAGGAAAAAGTACGTATCAAAATAAATGAAACTCTGAAGCTCTTCCTAGGCGCTCTCAGCCCTTGGCGGAGGCTACTCCAAAGGGTAGTACTAGGGGCTCCTGTTGGACAAAGAACGGGCAAAACCACCTACACATCATATAACCTTTCAGACAGGCCTTTCTTCTTGTCAGAATCTCCCCGCTCCAATCCAGTCCACACTGCTACCAAAATTTCTTGATAAAACACATACCCCTATGTTTCCATACTGTACACACAAAACATAAATCCTTCAGAGAAGGGAGCTTTTAAAATTTGATTCCGACATCTGTCTCAGTCTTATAACTTATAAAGGCCATGTTATAAAATTTGGGTTTAATATATTTGATTTTTTTTTTTCGATTTTGAAAGGATAGGCATTGAAAAGAATGCCTCTTACCCAATGTTCTTCAGCTATCCAGTTCCCCCATCCCAGAGACAACCAACGTTAATCAACTTACGTGTGCTGTTTGGACACATGCAGGTGAAAATGTTTATAGAGTATTTTCTCCCTTCGACGTCAGTAGTAACATATTATAAATGTTGATCAGATAATATGTTCTGATGCCTGCCTTCCTTCCACTATATCCTAACCAAATGACCTACATGTCCAAATTCACACCCTGCCACCAATTCATTTAGCTTTCCTATTTTACGTTTTGCCTGCATGGTACCATGGAGCCAGAAGAGGGTGTCGCATCCCCGGGAACTGGAGATAAGGATGGTTGTAAGACATCATGTGGGTTCTAGGAACTACTCCGGGCTCTCTGCAAGAGCCGCAAGTGCTTACTTAGCCTCTGAGCCATCTCTTCAGCTCCTCAATTCTCGTCTTTTCAAAAGCCTTTGAAAGCCCAGTACAAACAAGGATATTCTCTCTTCTCCGAAGAGTCTCGTACACAGACTCTTGTTACATTATATGATAACTGGTTTTTAGGTTCTTGTCTCTCTTTTTGTTAAAACATAAACGCGACAGGGATAGGGGCTTTTATCACCAATTCCCTCATGCCAAGGATACCCAGTCACTCAATAAATGACTATCTAAATAGACACCAGCACGCGTTATTTTAAAATGTGATTTATGTTTTCCGCATCAGCATTTCCTTTCAGAGAGCAATCATTAGGCCACATCCACGAACAGAGCCCAGGGAGCACATGAGAGAAAAGAACTCGGCTGTTTCTTCTAAATCCTGCAGTTAGCCTAAAATTACGTGCGGCCAGGCAACGGTGCAGCCCGACTGGCATTGTAAGACAGGAAGCTTTAAGTGACGTGGTAGACTTAAGCTCTGATCGTGAAACAATCAATTAACTCCAAATCAGAGCATCCAGGAAATTACAGGCAAGGGATCAGGAAAGAAAAGAAACCATTTTTTTTCTTTTTTTTTTTTTTTTTTGAGACAGAGTTTCTCTGTATAGATAATCAACAATGTTAAACTCAAAAGTTCATTTTTGCAGAGTTCCAAATTCTTCTCTCACTTGAAGAAAAGAAGGAATGCCGTTGATCATTTTCCGATGACGAAGAAAGATTCAAAGGAGCAATGTTTTTAAAAGAAAGAGGAAAAAAAGGCCTCAAGAAAGATGAAAACGCAATGAGGAGGACACGCCCACCAAAGGACACCAACCGTGAACAATTAGAAAGGTGCAGAAAACACTACTTTCAAAGGTGATCTATCAACCACTGGCGATCTATAAACTATCCACAATACATAAACTACTGGCAATATATAAACTACACTTGGAACCTTTTTACTCCTATGAAAACCACTTGGCTGTTAACTGAATGGGCTCGATTATCTTAAAAGTCTCATTATTTATTCCAAAGGGCTCATTTCTATAGGTAATTCTTAATTGTTTGTAAAATAACCCAACTCATTCAAAGTAAAAGGAAGAAAACAATCGTCTGCTAAAAATGTGTGGCCAAAACTTCTACCACTGGGATTACTATATTCAGAAATTAATGTGTCAGACTTGGAAAAGGCAGTCGAACCAAAAGAACTAAATACTCACTACTCAACCAAAAGCCCAACAGTTCTTGTGTGTGAGACACTCTGATTTTCTCTTTCTAGTCAATTCCACGAGGCAGGCGATGCATCTGTGAGGCCCATATGCTTTGTTCCCGACAGGAAGGAAAGCATTTCTACTACTGAAAATATTAAAATAGAGTCAATAATAAATGGAAGCGACTGTCCCAAAATGATTGCATTTTAACCAAAGTCTGCATTCAATACAGGACTAAACTAAAGTGGCCTACTTCAATCTACTGAGAGTTTCCAAATTATTAAAGGCTGGGCAATAAAATGAAATTATAATAAAGTCTATTTCCAGTTTAAGAAAACTAAAGTTCATATATTTAACTACTCAGATAGGAATGCACAGAAGCCAACATCAGTTTATTAGCTTTGGAACTAGCGCTAACTTGTTAAAATCTCCAAGAGTATCCGAAATCCAATGTTCCCATTCCCTTATAAACCACGGGTGCAAAAATCAAGGTAAGAACTCGTGCCCTACAAAATATCCATGGAAAAGGATGATCCTCAGCAATTTAAACCTCACCTTCTAAATGTAAACAAGAGAGGCACCAAACAGGCCCCCTCTATACGGACCTAAACACAGAAGCAATCCTGATGTTCATTCTTCATCCTACAGAAAAAAAATCTGCAACGATCTTAGAAGTATACTAAGAACGCACGTTATCAAAGCCTATTGTGTATATTTTATAGGAGTTATAATAGATGTTCCCAAATTAAGAGATTCGTTTAGAAATCTTAACAAAAATATCATCGGAGGGAAATTTCCCCCGAGCAGCTGTGTAATCTGTCCTCAACTCTTTCTACAGCTGGTCATGAATGAAATTCTAGATTCTACTACGCAGCACAAATGAAGCAATTAATTGAAAGCATTCAAATTGAATCGGAGGAGGTGGGGGCGGTGAGAGGGGAGACAGAGCCTGTTAAACCCAGCGAGAAAACAAAATAATAGCACGAAACTGAGTGCGCATGCAACTGATTGTAACAGGTATCTTAATGGACAGGGCAAGTCACCGGCTGTTCAGAGGCTTGCGAAAACACAGGTACACACACCCACGGACTCAGAACCTACAGAACAGGTGGATCCGCAAAAATCTCCACAGGAGGGAACTAAACAGTATTCAGTTTAATTATTCACCAGGGCAGCAGCCTTTCACTTCACCCAGAGGTAAAACCCTGGAGCCTCTTTTTAGATCAGCCCTGGCAACTCTGCAGACGCGGGGTTTCTTTCCAGAAAAGCGAAATCTGGCATGTCCATCACTGGGCGCGAAGAGAAGTCCTCTCCGTGCAAGCAAAGGAGTGTCGGAGGATTGGGTTTAGGGACAGGGACCGGGGATGGCTCTCCGGGGGTGAGAAAGATGCACTGTCCAGAGGGTCAGAAGTCGGGGTCCCGGGTCTGAGAGCGCAGGAAGAGGGGACGAGGGGCCCCGGAGGCGAGCACAGGATGCCCTACCCGGCACGAGGCAGGAGACTGGCTGCAAGGGCCCGGAGGGCTCCGACCCGGGATCCTTCGGGCTGAGCCCGAGGGGAGCGGGCGAGGAGCAGGTGAGGGAGGGCCGTACCTGGTACTCGGGGTACTCAAACATGTAGCTCATGCTGCACTTGTTCTCCTCGAAGCCGAAGAAGACATCCCACAGCCCCAGGGTGGCCAGAAGCACCATGAAGACATAAAAAGCCAGGTTCCAGAGGTTGACTGAGTGCAGGAACATGGTGCAGCTGAGCGCCTCCACGGCCGTCCAAGCCCAGCCGCCCAGACCCAGCCAGGGAAAAGCCGCCCGTGCCAAGCCGTGCCCAGCAGAGCAGCGCGCGCCTGCGCGGAGCCCGCCAGCAGCCCCTCCCCTTCGCCCGCCCTTCAGCGCGCCTGCGCGCAGCCAGCCCGCGGCGCCGCCCACGGAGGCGGCGTTTGCAGCGGGAGCGCGACGGGGAGATGGAATGGGAAAGCAAGCGGAGTGGGCTGGGCTGGAGGGCGTGGAGAGAAACGGGAGGGGACGAGGGAAAAGGGAAATGGGTTGGGGAGGAAGGAAGGGAGGATGGGAGCACGGGATCCCGGAGGCAGGAGGGGGATGGGCCGGGTGGGTACCAAAGGAATTGGCCAGGGCCAAGGATAACGCCCCGGAGTGCAGAGAATGTTTATGACCCAGTATTGACTGGCCAAGGGAGGCGGGCAGCACGTCAAAAGCATGTCCAGTGGCTGTCACATCGCAGGCACGTTTGCCTGCAACAGTTTAAAAAATTCTTTCCTGTTCAATTTCGAACCGCCTCGGGTCTCCGCGTTTCATCCCAAGCCTTCCTGGACCAGTTAGCTTGACTCCGGAGGAGACAAATCGCTTTCACCCGGCCTTTTAGACCACCAACTTGGGGCCCTCTAGGTAATAACACTTGGAAGTACCGGATCAGTAAAACAAGACCCAGAGGAAACCCTGTTCTTGGTGGAAGTCTAAGTCACGCGAGGGGTGGTCTTTAAAAGAAACTAGGAAAATGCCCACCAGCATGGATGTCCCAATTGGTTTCTGCTGGATGAGGCTGACAGTGACTGGTGTTCTCTGGAGCCCCCATGTCTCTGGGGGATCGATTTTATATTGGCGTTAGAAGAGATTTTGTTCAAACTTTCTCTCGTTCTCTCTCCTGACTTCATTCATTTTGAAGGATTTCACTTTGTCTTTACACAAAGGAGGGGGTTTTTAAAAAGCAGGACAAACCCGTTTGCAATACCTATAACAGCTTCAAAACGCTGTTCCTGTGTGTGTGTGTGTGTGTGTGTGTGTGTGTGTGTTGCTAACTTCAGGATTTTACTTGGAATAATTTTTGGCTCAATAATTGTTGACTCAATAAAATTGAGTCAATAATTGTTGACTCAATTTCATTTTACATAGACTAATTTTCTAGCATATATCCTGAGAAAATTGGCTATGATACATGAAATCAAAGAATTTTATCACTGAAAAGAAGCTTATTTATCTTAAACAAAACCCTTTTATTCACGCTAAGAAGCTATGGCCCAAGTTAAAATGATAGGCTAGATATTTTTACCGTACACAGAGACACTTACAGGGCCAAGCAAATACAGTTAGCTACAGGATATGAGATATTTGCGAAGAAAGAAAGGAACGGGGAAATGGACAGGTAAGCCGTTTTGACACACAGAGGTAGATTTGGAAGGACCAGAATAGCATGTGAGGGAACCCTGGGTAATATTAACTAGCGGGGGTAATGGTTAACTAACACAAACTTAAGGCATGTCATATATGTTTTCTGATGGTGTGGTATGCACACTCAGTGTATTAGATACTTGTCTTACAGTGTGACAGTATCCTTGCACAAGGAACTTAACAAAGGGTTTGTTTTAACTCACAGTTTCAAGGCCTGACATGGCTGGGGATTTAAAGCAGCATGACCTGAGGCAGGAGATTTATAGTAGCAGAACCTGAGGCAGGGGATTGACAGATTGCATCTACAGACAAGAAGCAAAGAGAGAGATGAACGCCAGAGCTCAGCTCCCTTTTTTTTGTTTTGTTTTGTTTTTTTTTAACCGGTTGGGAAGTTACTGTGGGTTTTCCCACTTTAGTTAACTTAATCTAGAAAACCACTCCCAGACTTGTCCAAAGATGTGTCTCCAAGGTCATTCTGAATTCCATCCAGCTGACAAAATCAGCCTTCACAACTCCACTCCTTGTCAACTTGACACCTCAACAATTAGACTTTAAAACAATTACCTACCTCCTCATGTTTCCATGAGATCACGGCCATCTCCTAATGTAGATGCGTTTAGTTCAACTTCAAAAGTCCCCATAATCTGTGACAGCCCCAATACTACTCAAAAGTGTCTTTTCTGAGACTAGGGCAATCCATTATCTGTGGACCCCTATAAAACAGAAACTTTGTTACATACGATGGCAGAGTGAACATTCTCTTTCCAAAAGGGAGCACTAGGAAAGATCATACCCAAACAGACCAAATCCCAGCTGAGCAAACATCTTATTTTATAACCCGACATCAGGCATCTAACGCTCATAATGAAATCATCTCGGCTCTAAAGGGCCTAGGTATCCTGTCCTTCCTGCTGTGCTGCCTGCAGAACACAAAGAATCTTTCTGAAAGAAAGTTTTATCTCATAATTTTATGGATGAATGTTTCGCTTGCATATATGCAAGAGCACATCCTACATATATGCATGTCGTGCCCAGAGACCAGAAGACAATGGATTCTCTGGAAGTGGAGTTCCGTTGGAGTTACAGGCAGTTGTCAATTGTCACAGAGGTGCTGGGAACTGAACCCAGGTCCTCTGCAAGAGAAGCAGATGTTCTTAACCACGGAGCCATCTCTCCAGCCTCACAGCCTCTCTCGTCGTCAGGTCTACTCCACACCCGGCGTCTTTGACAGACATTCCATGATTCCGGCCTCTCCCACATCCTAAGGTCTCCGCTGAAGCTTGGACTTCACTTTCATAGCTTCAGACAACAGCATCTCAGGACCTCCTGCAGCGCACAACGCCTGTCTGTGCTCTGTGCGCTACCATCCAGTTCATGAGCTTCGGGCAAGGGGCTGCAGGTTGAAACGCACAAAGACACACAGAGACAGAGACCTCTGGTCACTGGTAAGAAGCCCTTTATTTAATAGCACCATGGAGGCTTATATACCCAACGGTCAAGTGGGCCAACAGGTGAAAACCTTATCCTCTGATCAAGGCCGTGCTCAGGAAGCGGAGCTGGCAAACAACTTTGACACAGCCTTTAGTGACTCAAATCAGAAGGAAAGTAAAGATCTCTAGCAGGGAAGAGCAGCTGGAGGCCGGGACTCCAAATGGTCCCAACACCTCCAACCCTGCAGTATTGCCTAGACTCAGTTGCTCTCTGAAACTATGGTATAAGAGTCCACGATCTCCTTAATCTTGCCTCTTACATGCCTACCCAACTAGTGCCCTAGAGATACCATTTCTAAGTTCTACTTCCAGCTCCGGGTGGAGACTTGCCTTCTTGGACCATGACTAGAACAGCCTATTCTTGCTTCCTTGGGTAGTTGCTTTCCAGAAGCGAGGACCCCCTCCAGTGGCATTCTCAGCTTAGGCTCTCTGCTTTCAAATGAATTTTTGCTTTGCACCAAAAGCTGCAGCCTTTGATGGGTGGAGCCTTGCCCTCATGTTTGTCTATTGTCCAAGTGAAGAGCAGATGATTTCTCTTGGACAATTAAGCCTTGTTTTTAGTGTATGTCTTACTACAACTTAAACTTGCCCAATCTCTCTCTCTCTCTCTCTCTCTCTCTCTCTCTCTCTCTCTCTCTCTCTCTCTCTCTCTCTCCAAATTATACAAAAAAAAAAAAAATTCTTCCCACCTTTTTTTTTTTTTTTAACTGTTTACCCGGGTAAGTGTGATATCAGGCTGAACGCTAAACTGCCTTGAAATTTCCTCTGCCACACAAATTAAAAAAAAAAAAAATGTTGGTTTGCTTTGCTTTGCTTTGCTGGTGATGCTAGTGCTTTGGGGGGTTGTTGTTGTTGTTGTTATTGTTTTGAGACAGGGTCTCACTCTGCAGCCCTGATTGGACTGGAACTCTTTGTATAGACCAGGCTGGCCTTGAACTCATAAAGATCCGCCTACCTTTGCTTTCTGAGTGCTAAGATTCAAGGTGAATTCTAGCATGCCTGGCTAATCAATTATGTTTATATTCCACTTCGCTGGACTTCCTTGGGGCACACGCAGAATGCATCTATGTTCTTTGTCTGAGCCTAACGTGAACGTCTGCTTCCCTTGCTTGTGTCTCAGAAGTCAGACCTCCACTAGCCCCATCTTGCTCCCTGTGACCTTCTGACTCCCACCACAATGGCCCATTAAGTTCTTTTCACCTCCTCAAAGAGTCTTTCTAACCCAAAATTCCAAACTCTTACACATTTCTTGATAGGGGAGTTCAGCCAATCACATTCTGTTTTGGGGGCGTGCCGCCCTCAGGCTAAAGCCTGCCTATAAACCTAGCCAGCAGGCTCCGCTAGCTCTCTTTCGCCTGGCTCCTGCGCCTGGACGATCTTTAAATTCTGGTGTAAGCTGTTGTAAGTCTTACTTCTGTTTATTAAAGCTGTATATTTTGTATTAAGATAGTCTGGGGATTTTTCATTACCAATCACCTTGCAGCATCAATTTCTCCTACAAATTTCTCCTTTCCAAAGTCCTAAGAACCACACGTTCATGTTATCATGGTACGACAGCAACCCCACTCCTGGTACCAGTCTTCTATACTAGTTGTCATTACGACGGAAATACCCTAACAGAGGCAGCTTTTTAAAGGGAGAGGTTTATTTCGCCTCACGGTTCCGAGGTACAGTCTGTTATGGCTTGGAAGTCATAGCAACAAGAGCTTGAAGCCGTTAGTCTTGTTGTATCCACAGTCAGTAAGCAGTGACAGACAACCGCCAGTGATCAGTTTCCTTTCTCCTTTTTCTTTGAGCTAGATGTTATGATGGGCTCCCCACTCCAGTTAACTGAGTCTAGAAAATACATCATGGATATCTGACTCCAAGGTAATTCTAAATCTCAACAAGTAAACAAGATCAACCATCAACTTGGGAATTTCTCTTAAATTGTGTCGATAAGAATAGAATATGCTAAGTTTTCAGAAATATACCAACTGGACTAGATTATGTAAACAACCTGTTTTACATAAGTACAATGTATAGAGCTGAATATGCTAATGAGGATATACTATAGATTTTGAGTCCACAAAATGAGAACATTTGGGATCTAGCATGAAATTACCACTTAGTGTAAAGGAATATGGATTGCGTGGGAAAGAATTTAAGCTCTAGATTAAAATAGGAGAAATGCATTGAGTC